TATCGCACTGCATACAAGACCTCCATAGGTATGTCTCCTTACCAACTTGTATATGGGAAGTCTTGCCATTTACCGGTAGAGCTAGAGCATAAGGCTTTGTGGGCGATGAAAATGATAAATTTGGATTGGGGCGCGACATCTAATCAAAGAATGAATGACTTGAATATGCTTGACGAGTTTCGCCTTAAAGCTTATGAAAGTTCAGCCTTGTACAAAGAGAAGATGAAGAGGTATCATGATCAAAGAATTGAAAAGCAAGAATTTGTTGTGGGTGATCTTGTGCTTCTATTCAACTCTAGGTTGCGCTTGTTTCCGGGCAAACTCAAATCGAAATGGACCGGGCCATTTTTGCTCACAAAAGTGCTTCCTTATGGAGCGGTTGAGCTTGAGAATAGTGAAGGAACAAGGTTCATGGTTAACGAGCAAAGGATCAAGATCTATCTGGGAAACGCAGAAAGTGTGCAAGAAGTTGTCGAGGCCTATCATCTTGATGAAGTCTGAGTAATCAAGAGGCCTGCGTCGTGCCGCGACGTTAAATCAACCGCTGCTTGGGAGGCAACCCAAGATGTAAATCTAGCCAACAATAGGTTTTTGTTTTCCGTTTATTAGTTTTCTTTGTTTAGTTGCTTCTCTGTACTCATTTAGATAGTTGTTTTACTTTTGTTTTAGTATTGGCTAGACATAGCATAGGGTCTGTGTCTAAAAAAGTGTCCAGAAAATGTAAAAACAAAGTGCTAATGGTTGCTACATATGCAGGGGCGAAAAGCAGAATCTGCAGGAAAAGGTTTGGTGTAGCGGTCTACGGACCCCATCGACGGTCTGTGGTTCATTCCACGGACCATTAATAGTGTCCGTGGTTCATTCCACAGACCGTTAATAGTGTCCGTAGATCCTAGGTAAGGTTTCTGAATTTTTAAGTGCAAGTTTGATCTACGGTCCCCATCTACGGACCGTAGACGGGGTCTCGTGGGTCCAGAACCCTAAATGTTGCCTGACTCGACCCGGACCAATCCTATTTAAAATCACCCAATTTTAAACCATTCCTACTTCCCTCCATTTACCACCAAACCGTTTCTCAACTTCCCAATTCCTTAAATCGCTCCATAATTCCCCATTAAATCTTCCCTTTCCTCTCCCCTTAAAACCTAATTTTCCTTTCATCTCCAACCTCCACTCATCCCAGAAATTCCCCAATCTCTCTCAACTGCCTTTTTCAAAACTTCGGTGTTCGGGTTCGGCGCAACTAGGTGATTAGTGTGGTATTGCAAAGCTTAGTGTCATCACGCAATCACCCCATTCCTCGTTGCTTGTAAGGTAATAGACTTTCCCCTCACTTTGAATTTCGGTTCATAGATTGAATATAGAAAGTCGGGAGTCGGGTCTTGACCTTGGGTAATTAAGTGTATGTAATTGTATGCAAAAAAATATTTAAGTTCTAAAACCCTTGGGACGATAGATTGTGATTGTGTTGCCTTGATAGTGTGCTAAACTTGTCTGAATGCTAGTCTATAAGTAAGTTTCGACTTAGGGTTCCGAATCTTGTATGAAATAATTCTTAAATTTGTGTAATTGGAACCCTTGGAATGATGAACTAGCTTGATTAAATGTTGAAATGGATGATTAGACTAGGATACTGTTGAAAATGGTCAAATATGTGGACTTGAAAATAATGAATGTCTGAAACTTGGCACAAGATCACGTCCACGAGACCCTGTCTACGGACCGTAGTTCAATCTATGGACCATAGATCAAGTTCGTGGATGGATGCACTTGAAAATTTCACCAAGTGTGAAACCACGGAGGTGGACTACGGTCCGTTCAATCTATGGACCGTTATGTACATCTGTGGTTTCCCTCTACAACCAATATTATTGGTCCTCTGATCCATGGAAGGGTTCCACAGACCATAGATCAGTCTACGGACCGTAGGTCCCCACCGTAGATGACCACTATAGCCACTGTCTAAATTTTTTTTGTTTTTCGTTTTTGTTCGCTCTTAGTTCTAAAATATTTTCGAGTGTGTCATGAGTTTATTATGGTACTAATTAGACATCCACAGGTACCATGACACCTAAGAAGCAAGTAACCTACTCCAAAAGGGGCAAATCAAAATCCGTGCAGCCTACTTTTAGGCTGATTGATGAAGACACGGACGCAAAAAATGATCCAGCATATGTTCCACCGGCCATGAGGACATCCCCTACTGCACCTCGGGCTACCCGAAATACATCCCGGCAGGTGGTCACCGGCGTAGTCACTGTCTCCCAGTCTGATGAAGAGAACATACTGATCGGGTCACCGGCTGATTCTGCCTCCGGTTCTGAGGCTGGTTCTGCTTCCGGATCTGAGGCTGGTTCTACTTCCAGCTCAAAGTCCGCCTCTGCTTCCGGCTTTGAGCCCGCCCATGCTTTCGGCTCCAGTTCTGGATTCGCCACAAGCTCAGGATCACATGACAAAGCTGCCTCGTCTGATGAGGCCACCAGTTCGGGAGAAGTCTCGGTTCCACAAAGCTATGACTTTGATTCGGTGGCTGGGGAGCCAAACAGATGGTGTGTTGAGGGGCAATGAAAAATCTACCGGGATGCCAGAATGCTGAATGAGAAGAGAAGATGGCCCGACTTATTACCGAAGAGCGCAAAGTCCTCACGGGGACCTTACACACTATTCCTGACATCCACCGGCCTTTTCAGCTACACAAGTGAGACTGGATGGCTCGAGACCCTGGGACTTATAGCGAGGAGATTGTGCGGGAGTTCTACGCCTCCTATGCTGCCACTCTCCCAGGTTCGATTGACAATAGGTCCAAGTCCACAGCCCAAGACCCTATCACTTCTACTATGGTCCGAGGTTTTCCAGTGGACATATCACATACCACCATCAACCGATTCCTCTATGGCCCTGGTCCTGATCACACTTGGGCTCTCAACACGACCGAATTTGATTACCGATGGGATGTTGTGAGGAGTGGAGCCTTCATGCGTAATGCAGAGCAGACGGAGACTGTTATACTTTGGTTGGCTAAATACATTGTTGCAGATGGCAAGCGTGCGGAGTGGGTCACTCCACCACAGTTGGGTATCCGAAAGGCCACATTAAATTTTGTGGCCAAGTTCTTCTGGTTGTTGGTGCGTAACAGGGTGTCGCCTACAAAAGCTGACAACCAACTCACATGGGACAGAGCCGTCATGGTTGCAGCATTAGTAGTAGGATTGGAGATTGACTTTGCCCGCATGCTGCTGACAGAGATTCACGAGAGGGCGTTCAAGACCTCTACTACTTACCCCTTTCCATGTTTAATTTTTCAATTGTTTAGGGACTCAGGAGTGCCAATCTGGCACTGTGATAGGTTGATCCACCCTACGGGGACCTTAGATGTTGACCTGATTCGGGACGAGGCGAATGTGGCAGCACCTCACAGAGGTCCACAGATCGATGTGCCATTAGGTACTGGTTTAGTAGATGTTGTGGAGCAGATGCAGGGTGATGAGCCTGCCCCTCCAGCCCACACTGATGATGCCCCAACCTTCTCTTCTCAGGCCTCTAGTCAGGCCCCCAGCTCATCTAGAGCCACCCCGCCTTCGGGATCCAATGTTATACCACTAGTCCAAGTCTAGAAATTAGAGGTTCAGATGGCCACCTTGCTGCACCATATTAAGCCCTAGATGCGGAAGTTGATTGCTGAGTCCGAAGAGAGAGAGTAGAAAAAAAAATGGAAGCAAAAATGGACCAAAAGGTCCAAGCAGTTCATAAGCGGCTCAATCCGTTCGAGTTGAGAGTTCTAGAGAGGCCAGATCCTACTACTGATATATCCTCTTTCCGTACCGAGCTAGCTAGTCTCCGGGCCGATGTTGACGCCATCCTGGCCACACCAGCTGTTGAACTACAGGCTGCACCCTTTGCATTAGGCGATGATACAGTCCTGGGTGCACTATTCAGTGGAGATGATGCGGAGGAGAAGCCCGATCCTGCACGTGCCCACGGTAAGAGGCACCGATCTAGTCACAAAACTGAGCTCACAGAAGAAGAAAAGGCTAGTAAAAGGTAGCGCAGACAGGAGAAAATGGCACGAAAAGCCTCCATAATAGATGAGCAACTGAGGCAGCAGAGGGCCCGTGAGATGATTGCTGGGGCGTCGAGTTCTATGCTCGTGAGGATTGATGTGAGCACCACTGAGGGTGCAGTTAGAGTGACAGATAGCACTACTGATGGTGTTGTCCTTGTTTGATGCGGGCACTACTGAGGGTGACCCGAGTGTTGATTTTAGCGGGCTCCGAGAAACTGGACCCACCCGCTTGTTGATGGTTCATCGGCGCTATGCGCCACAGGTTTGCTTCACCCAAATCCATTACTTTTTACTGTTTTTTGTATGCATTGGGAACAAGTTCTCCTATTTTTTGTTGGGGGTGGGGTAAATGGATTATGAGTGATAGGGTGAAGTCTGAGTAACCCAACTCATAATCCTCTCTTGAGGTTTTCTTGCCTGTGTTCTTTTCCCCCAAGAGATTGTTTAATTTCTGTTGAACCGGCATGTGTTAGGATCGTATGTGTAGAAGCATGAAAAAGATTAAAGCATGATGGCTTATGAAAAATGATATTCGTCCAAATTAGGCAGATGTGTGCTAGAATTTGTAGGCTAAGATAAGTTGAATGTGTCGGCTCTGAGTATGACATGATAATGAACCAACTTGATGGCATGACTTAAGCTAAAACTTGAACTGAGTAATCTGATAATGTGATAATGAAACTATATGCCAAGAGTGTGTGTGAATAGTTGATTGTTCAAACAGTTTTGTGCCAATTTAGAACTTGCCTGGTTAGTCCTGCTAAGACAATTTACTATAGAGGCTAGGAAGTGATCATAGACCCTTGTTCTGATAAGTCCACAAATTGCCTAAAGGAAGAATCCAACCAAATGAAATAAAAGCTCCCTTTGATCCAAATGCTTTGAGCCTAAATCAGACCATTTCTTTCGAAACCCCTAACTCACCTTCCTATAATCTACTATGTTGGCCTCAGTCCCTCCTTGGACATGTGCACCTCGACTTAGGCCAAAAGCCTCAGTTGAGGGTGGCTAATGTAAAGAGTAACTTCAATCATGGCCCTGATCTGACATCGGGTATTGTGCACCTCAATCAATGGAAAATCTATAAGTTGAGGGTGGCTATGAAAGCTAAAGAAAAGAATAAAACGCAAGAAAAAGATGAAAGTGAAAAATAAAGAGCTACAAAGTCTAAAGTCACATCCATGGTTGAAAAAAATCAAGGGAAAGAAGGTAAAACGGTAGGATGTCAAAAATGGGGGTAAAATGAGGTTGAAAGCCTAGTGTAATGTCAAGGAGGGAAGAAAGTCACTAAGAAGTACCCAAATTTACCACACCTGACCCTGAGCCTATGTTACAAGCCAAGAAAGTCGTATAGTGATCTTTGAATCTAGTTTGGATAGTCGAAGCAGTGAAAATAAGGGCAAGCCTATGGTATTGAGCACTAACTGTACTTGAAGTTACTTCTGAGTGTGAGTGTTGAATGAATCCTTGTACTCAAATTCATTTTCGTTATGTGAAAAGAGGGATTTCGTTTGAAGTAAGGGCACTAGTTACATTGTCAAAAAATTGGTACCTTGGTGATAGTAAAACAGTGTATGTTTTTGTTGGTTGGTCGATCTTTGTCATGTTTTGATCCGCACAAGTTATCTTGTTGAGTCTGAGACAAAAGATTTGCACCCAAAAAGAGAGTCGGAGTAGAGAGCCATGTGATTGCTTGTGCTTGAATTGCTTGCTTCTATACAAGTGTCGTTTAGAGTCTTAGTGCGTCGCTTGAGGACAAACAACGAATATAAGTTGAGGGTGTTGATATACCGTGAGTTTACGGTATTTTTTAACACATTTCACGTAAGAGTTGTGTGTGTCTAGGGCCTTTTTGTATTGGTTTTTTTATGTGTTTTTATCATGTTTTGCAGGAAAGATGTTTAGGCGCGAAAGTAAAGAGATAGCTGAAAGAAATGCAGAAAAAAGGCATCTACGGAGGTGATCTACGAACCGTAGGTCCATTGACGCTCCGTAGATGGTGAACGTAGATTAGCAGGCAAGGCATGGAAGACAAATCAGGGAAATCTGACCAAGTGTGGAACCACGACGGCCATTGATGGTCCGATCCGTAGATTGATCTACGGACCATACTGTTGATCCGTAGAATGATACTGCGAGGGTTCCAGTACCTGATTTTTGAAGATTCTAAGTGTGGAGCTACGAAGAGGGATTGACGGACCATAGATTGATCTACGGTTCGTATTGGAGTTCCGTCGTTTGCTTTAGAGAAGCTGATTTTTGGATCCAAGAACCAAGATACAAGACACAATATAAATTTTCTTCTAGCTTAGGAACTTTGGCAGAGCCGCCGGGGAGGTCGGAGAATTGTGGTTTATTCTTTCTTCTCCTTTATTATTTATTTGTATTCGTGATTAATAAAAGATAGTTTAGCTATTGTTTTTAACTTTTTATGATTAACACAAGCATATTTATTTTAATAAATTATGATTGTGGTTTTGAGATAATGTGTAGCTAACTTTCATAACTAGGGTTGTGGCAACCATTTGCGATTAACAAAGTATGAATAATAAATAAGCAATTCTTGAATACTGTCTTGCATGTATTGATAATTCTTTCGTTTAAAAGCCTTTTTACGGTGCGCAATGTTAGAACTCGCCTTGTTGCTACTTGCCGGACCAAGGAGGGAATCAACAAGAAAAGAATTATCAACATTGATTTAGTGTGATACTATCTAATAGTCTAGTGTCGATTGGTGCGAAGTAATAACTAAGCAAAACATCGATGTGATGTCTAATATGAGGTCAAGGTAAGGGTTAGTAAATTATACACACGTAGCCGGACCAAGGTGCGAGGTGAAATTCTCTAGATGCCGGACCAAGGATTTAAAGATACCTAACTTATCACTTTGCATGTAGTACACTAGGAAATGATTGCTATTACTAGGATTACTGCGTTATGAGCTTGTGGGGAACACGTATACCCTAGTTAATTCTCCCATCTTGATAACAACCAAAGTTGACTTTTGTTTACTAATTGCTTGCTGAATTCTTACAATTTGTTTCACAAATAACCCCCCCCCCCCTTTAATTACTTGTTTCTGGAAGTAATTTGACTAAACGAATATAATTTTTGGTTAAAGTGAAGTCTAAACCATTTTCCTCGTGGGATCGACCCAACCTACAACTTGAGTTCTTTACTTGATAACGATCGCTTATGCTTCTTTAGGGAGGTGTAATTTGAGCGTATCAAATACATAGCCAATGAAGAAGGATGACGAAAATATATGTTCATGCTATATTCACTATTGTGTTCCATTTTATTTAAATCTCTTGTCACTAACACTCTACTTTCTCCGTTCATTTTTATATACAAATCTATTAAAAATAATTATTATCATGACTATGTTATCATATTATAAGTAAAAGTGAAAATCTATATTTGAAATAGTGAATTTAATATCAAAACTAATGATTCAATGGACTATGTTGATACCCATTGTTTTAGCAAAATTAGGAAGAAACTC